CTTTCCACACCTAAACCGTATTTTAAGAATCCACTTGTATCAAGGGAATTGCGTACAATGTATCTTGAGGCCATAACATATCTTCTAAGAAAGGACCTTGTGGTACAATTGCACGCATATATATTACTTATGACACCACAGTACATAAAAATGGGATTTACACAAGAAGAATATGAAGAAAAATTGAGAAACACAAATGAGAATGGGTATTATTATAATACGTCAATTGGAGAAAGTAATGGCGTGTCATCGAATGCAATGGATGAAACTGCACTGATATCACCTTTTGATAAGGCATCAGATAGTGAAAGAGAGTGGCTTAATAAATTTGTGGTTAACCAGCCTAGAGAAACGGTGACAATGTTTGAAAGGTATAACCAAATAATCAATTTAAATTATTTCACATATTTATTTATTTGTTTATTTGTTACATTTGCATTTTTTTTTTTTTTACAAGGTTGACAAAATATTTTAATGGTAAGCACCATGTGGAAGAAATTCTTTTTAGAGAAACTATAAAGCCAAGAGATCTTGGCAAAATTTTAAGTTTATTTAATCGAGAAGAATTAATAATTGTTTGGTGTTAATATTAAGAGTTTAATATTAAGAATTTAATTTGTAAAATTAACCAAAACGAGACTAATGTATAACAGAAAAGTAAGGTGTAATAATATATTTTTTTATGTAAAATAAATATAATAAAAATGTATAAAATAACCATTTTAATGCAAATTATCTTTGTGAAATTGTGAAAACAATGTAAAAATAATTTATTTGTTTTCAGAATTTAATTTTTCGGTATCTAAATTTTCATCAACATTTGATGATGTGTTATTCTCACAAGACTTTTTTTGAAAACTATCATTGTTATCATTGTTTAACAACATTGCATCCGCTTTTGCATTAAAATTATCAAGTCTTCCATCAAGGTCATTAAGTGCATCTTCAGCTTTAGTTATATCATTAAGTAATTGATCAAAATTAATGTCTTCTATGTTATTTTCACCCGAAAAATCGTCAGAATGAGTAACAGTTGGTGGAGTTGTGGAAATTGGCATTTTGAAAAAGGTTACGAGTGGGGGGAATTTTAGATTTTCATTATATAAGAATCCATATAAGGGTATAAAAGATAATTGAACCAATGAGATTCTAATCTTGTAGATCTTAGAATTTCATCTAATCAAAAACCTGCAATTTTAAATGTTATATGCTTAATTAATAATAATAATTGATGATTTGATAATCTTAAGAAACATGACGACTTCTCCTGAAGATTGTGAATCAACAGCAATAAGTAACGCAATACCCATAAAGCCAAAGCCGAAACATGGTTATGCTGCATCTATTAGTTCTATCTCCTCAGTTTTATCCGATCAAATAACTAGTGTTACCTCCATACCTTGGGCTCCCTCTTCGTTCGGTTCAACTTTATTAGGAATGACTCACAGTAATAGTGTAGCTGTGCTCGATCCACTTGCACAGAAAACTTTAGTAAAAGAAATGGCTAAGAAAAGTTAGTTTAACGTTAACGTTAAATAAAACTTTTTAAAAAATATACAGTATTTAACAATTTTTTTTCTTTTTTTTAGCAATTATAGATTTGGAAGTGTTCCTTAATCAATTATATAATGATTCATCGCTTGGATTATATCATATCAGTGAACATATTCGTAAAAGAGTACCACAAATCGTTGAAGAAAAGGTAGATAAATTATTAAAATTAATAATAATAATAGGAAACATTCGTGGGGAACGTCCGTACACGTGATTATCGGCTAGTGATTATCGGCTAATAGTTAAATCGAAATTGATGTAACTTGCAAATCCATTTCTTTTTTTATTCATTTCCTTTTTATTCACTAATCTTTGACTTCAACGAAACGAAACTAACGAAACAGAAAATATTGTTTTTTTTTTGATATCACGTGCGCGAACCAATTCCCCTACATGCTAACTATCCCCTTACATACTAAACTAATCATAATTCTATATTCTATTTCATTCCTATTTTTTGCAGAAAGGATTAATTAATTTAGAAAAAGACATAGAAGTTACGATTTCAGATATGAAAGATTCATATGCTGTAGTGAAAACTTTACCTACAATATCAAGTTTTAGTAGTATTAGTGATTTGTTGAAAAATACTTTAGAAGTTGTAGAAACAGCTAAAAGTAAAAAATAATCGTCATATCTGGTATAATACTGGTATGCAATTACGGTATTCAAGACATTCAGGACTTAAAAGCCACTTTTTATATATACTTAATATGTACAGTATTTATGTATGTAACTATGTATGTACATTGGTAATTATTTTCATAATTGGATATTCGCTTTTTGGCTATTTATGATCATTTATGATACGTATATTTTTAAAAGTACAAAACTTGCACGAAAAATTTAATTAAGTGTTATACAATATAGTACTGCAGTTTATTTTAAATGTATCAAGTTTTTACAACAAAACCGAAACTAGCATTGTGTTCCGAAACACGATTTATATTAAATATACCTTTTAAAGATAAATCTAGTTATGCTGCGCTCATCTCCGTTATGTATATAATGGCTTTGATATAATACATTCCCTAAATTTATCTTCCTTACGTATACACCTGGAGGAAATCGCCGGTCGATTTACTACGCTGTCACGAGCCATAATTTTATATAACGTTATCATTTTTTATACCCTCCTTACTTTTTTAAATCGCAGTGCGGTCTTATAATAGTATACCTATTTTAAATTCAAAGAACTCTATATTCAAATCATAATGTCATATAATAATAGTGTTTCTGAGAAAGATCAGTCGGCTTTCCCGACAATTACCGTTCTGGAGGTGTCGGAAGATAAACGTTTAGATAATGATAATAAAAGAGCTCGAGCAAACTGTTGTGGCTGTATAACAGAACAAGTGGGAGTTATTATTATTTTTTCCTTTTACTTTGTAGGTATTTCTTTCGTAACATTCGTAAAACAAAAAAAATAATTATTATTACTTTATTAAAAGTAAAAAAAAAAAAAAAATAATAATAATGGTTTATAACTTACAATAACAGTTTTTCGGATTGTTAAATACTTTAAGTTCTATTTCTACTTTGGCATGTAAGTAAAATTATCTACATATTATTATCTAAAAAAAAAAAAAATAAAGTTTATAAATTCTAAATATTTTTTTTCTCTCATTTTATTATTAGCCTCTGACCTCGTTAGTAGAGATGAAATAATTTTAATAGTTTCTGTTATCTTATATGCCATGATGTCTATAGTTGGAATTATTGGTGTTTTGGCAATCCGAAAAACTGTTATTGTAAGTTATAAACCATTATTATTATTTTTTTTTTTTTTTTACTTTTAATAAA